GTGGACGTGTTGATGCGTTTCATGGACACGTGGATGGGCAGACGTGTTGTGGACGTGCAGACGTGTTGTGGACGCGTGTCATGGACACGTGGATGGGCAGACGTGTTGTGGACGCGTGTCGTGGACATGTGGACGCGTGTCATGGACACGTGGATGGGCAGACGTGTTGTGGCCGTGCGGACACGTGTCATGGACACGTGGACGTGTCTCGTGGAGGCGTGTTGTCATGCAGAGGTCTGCCTGTGTTGACCACGGAAGCGCTGGAGAACCTTGTGCCACAGCTTCGGTCTTCTGCTCCCGCCCTCAAAGGCGCCCAGCCAATCTCTGTCTGATGGGCTCCGAAGCTGATTGGCCAATCAGCTGGTCTCCAATGCCGATGTCTTCAGTTGATTGGCCAATCAGCACGTGCTGGTCTCCAACACCGTCTGGCCAATGAGATTTGCCGGCTCGCAAAGGCAGTTGGCCAATAGCACGTGCCGGTCTCCAAAGCCATTAGCCAATGAACACGTCCACATCTCCAAAGCCAGCTGGCCCATCACCGTGCACGGTCATTGGCCAATCAGATCATGTTGGGCTCCAAAGCCGCTGGCCAATGTGATGCGTTTGCCTCCGACACAACCGACCAATCGTCTGCCTTGGCTTTCCAAAGCCGGTTGACCTACCAGCATTATCACGTCTCCAAAGCCAACCGACCAATCAGCACCTCCGCATCGCCTCAACCGTCCCCGTGCAGTCATCCGGCGCCGAAACGAACCAATCAACAGCCGATGACCGCCAGAGCCAACCGACCAATCAGCGCCTCTCGCCCGTGAAGCAAGGCAAGGCGGTGCCGCCGAAGCGACGAGGGATTAGGGAAGGAGGCGGCGAGGCGTCTTCGCGCCCGTCAGACGCCTCCAGCTCAGCCCCGGGGTGGGACGAGCCGGGCCGGGCCCCGACGCCGTTATAAAACCGACGGAGCTCACGTGGGAGGGACGGGCGCGGAACGGCGGCGGCGACGGAGAAGAAGACGTGCCGGGGCCGGTTGGGACGGGTTTTTTTGGGGTTGTTTTTTGGGGTTTTTTTTTTTTTGGGGGGGTTATTTTTTTGTGTTTGGTTTGGTTGGGTTTTTTTGGGTGTTTGTTTT